CTAAAACTTCACATAGATGGTACCTCCCACCCCTACCCCACCAGACAGCACTACTTCTGTTATATTGTAGTACCACCCAGTGGCAGAAGGACACACTACAAGTCTAGGACTGCTAGTTGAATACTTTCATTATTCAAAATGGCAACTGCTATGAACTAAACTTTGTGTCACCAAAATTCATGCCGAAGGCCTAACTTTCAGTGTGACTAAATTTGGAGCTAGGGCCTGTGAGGAAGTCATAAAGGTAAAATGAGGTAATAAGGTTGGGAACCTAATGCGACAGTGCTAATCTAACAAGGGGAAGAGACATGGCACACACTCTGCACTCACAAAGGCACCCAGGAAAGACCACATAAGCACACAAGGAGAAAGCAGCTACCTGCAAGCCAGGATGAGAACCCTCACCAGGAACCTTATAAGCAGGCACCTTGATCTTGGACTTCCCAGCCTCTAGAACTGTGAGAGATAAATTTCTATTTGTTTGGGTTTTTTTAATTAATTAATTAATTAATTTATGATAGTCACAGAGAGAGAGAGAGAGAGAGGCAGAGACACAGGCAGAGGGAGAAGCAGGCTCCATGCACTGGGAGCCTGATGTGGGATTCGATCCTGGGTCTCCAGGATCGCGCTCTGGGCCAAAGGCAGGCACCAAACCGCTGCGCCACCCAGGGATCCCTAAATTTCTGTTTCTTAAGCCACCCTATCAGTGGTATTTCGTTATGGCCTGACTGCACTGACTGCAATGCTTAACCTTAATCCCAAAACTTTTCTCTCTTTGTAAAAGAGGTAATCATTTAAAAATCAGATATTAAGAGTCAAATTCTAATCTCAAAATTCACAAAAATTAAAGACGAGTTTTTTTCTGACAAGTTCCATTATCAGCTACAGGATGTTTCTTAGATCACAAAGGTTAGAAGGCTTAATTCTTATTATCAAATGAAAAAAGTTTTTCCCTGAAATTAAGGGACTATGGTTTCTAAGAATACTTGTGGCCTTCCTCAGAGCAAGACAAAAACTCTAAAACAGGAAAAAAAAAAATCAATGATTCAAATCAGAAAGGTAAGTGTTATTAGAAAATACATAGACCTAAAAATCACAAATTTCTTCCATTTTCATCTGTGCTTACAAATGCCCATTTACAAATATTCCTTGACTGTCTATTGTAGTAGTCAGGAACATGGACCCCAGGACCAACCACCATGGTTTTGCATCCCTGTTCTGCAGCTCGCTGTGAGAATCTGGTATATTACTAAACTGCAGTTTCAGTTCCTCTCCTATAAAGTAGAGATCATCATCTCCCATAATGGCTGTATCCATCCCTACAAGGGGATGCTATCCCCCCAGAGATGCTACATCTCTGTAGCATCCTATCATCTACACTCCATTCTTCCACTCCTCAAGCCCTAATAAAATTTATTTTCTTATAAACTATGTGATCTATAATCATTACTGAAATTAGCAGCACATGAGTAGGACAATCTTTTATCTGAGTATCCCAGAACAGAAAACAAATACAGGTTAACTGCCTCTGCCTCTCTCCTCCCCACCACCCCACTACCCCAGTATCTTATTTCTGCATCATCCTGACTCTTTACAGTATAGTGTACAAAACTGGTCAGAAGAAAGGTTCTAGTGGTACATGGAGATGATCCCTTGGGTACTTCTCTTCAGTTTTGCAAGTTTAAATATCTGATTTCCTCAGAGTTCCTGCAAAAAGATCCTGTTACTGAGACAGCTGATCTCAGCAAATTTAGTCCAAATTTAGCCTGTTTTCTAGTTAATGCTGTGTCTTTTCTGGACCCAGGCAATTTTCTTACTGCTATTGAACTAATCTAACTCCACATACAGAACTACACATCAATTGTTCTAAGTAGGATGGTATGATTCCTATTTTGTCCTTCCTTTTGAGCAAGAGGACCACAAAGTTTGAGGACATAAAAGGGAGACTCTACAACTGCTCCATTTTGTCTCCTACCATCTACAGAAAAGAAAGGGAAAGCTATTAGGTTATGTGTCAATTTCTTACCTACTACCTAAACAGCTTTCAATTTTAAGAAGTGTGCATAAACCTTCACTTACCTGTATACAATGGCTTTGTCTATATAAGCTGCTGCAAACGCTTACTTAGATTAGCTAAATTTAAAATGCAGCATTTTTATTCATCTTTTAAATCCTACTCCAAAGTAAAGAACCACTAATGGTTTTCCTATGTTAAATAACTACTACTGGTTTTTAAGAACCTTAATTACTGGGCAGCCAAGGTGGCTCAGCAGTTTAGCGCCACCTTCAGCCCAGGGCATGATCCTGGAGTCCCGGGATCAAGTCCCATGTCGGGCTCCCGGCATGGAGCTGCTTCTCCCTCTGCCTGTGTCTCTGCCTCTGCCTCTCTCTCTCTGTCTCATGAATAAATAAAAAATAAAAATAAATAAAATCAATAAAATCTAAAAAAAAAAATCTTAATTACTATCACTCACTAATAATTACATCCAAACTTAAATCAAGCATTGAACACTGCTGCAGGAAAACACTGAGTCAAAAGAAAACAAAAGAAAAAAATCCAAATGAGATATGCCACAAAATCCATATTGCCATCTCAAAATATCTCAAAGTTAATCATTATCACTTTGGATTTTAAAGATACTTACTTTTACTTCTAGTTATGAAGCCCTTAAGTAACTCTTTTTTTTTTTTTAAAGATTTACTTATTTATTCATGAGAGACAGAGACAGAGCAAGAGAAGGGGGCAGAGACATAGGCAGATGGAGAAGCCGGCTCTTCACAGGAGCCCTATGCGGGACTCGATCCTGGATCTTGGGATCACAACCTGAGCTGAAGGCAGCTGCCCAACCACTAAGCCACTCAGGCTCCCTTAAGTAACTCTTCTTAATAAATGTGTATCCTACAGAGAAATTAAGTGGGACAGGCTTAGGCTAGTGGGACAGGGTTAGGCTATTGACTAACATACGAGAACTCTACTGGAACAAAAATCTTTCAACTCCTAGACTAGATTTCTTCCCATTATATCATGTTTTTATAGCTCAATGTCTAAATTTCAAGGATAAGATGTAATGTGATAAATGACAAGGAACTGCTAAATAAGAATACAGTACACAATGTATCACAGGTACTATATAATTAATGCCAAGTAAATCTCTAGATGATAGCTGTTGTTAAAGTTCAGACACTACTGTAGGGTAGAGTTCGCTGGCTAAATTTTTAAATAGAATTTTAATTAAGAATGAACTTTAGAGGGATCCCTGGGTGGCGCAGCGGTTTGGCGCCTGCCTTTGGCCCAGGGCGCGATCCTGGAGACCCGGGATCGAATCCCACATCGGGCTCCCGGTGCATAGAGCCTGCTTCTCCCTCTGCCTGTGTCTCTGCCTCTCTCTCTCTCTCTCTCTCTCTCTCTTTCTGTGTGTGTGTGTGACTATCATAAATAAATAAAAATTAAACCTTTAAAAAAAAAAAGAATGAACTTTAGAAATTATCCACTCTACAGAATGGCTAGATTCAAAACAACAAGAAATAACAAGTGCTGGTGAACATGCGGAGAAAAAGAAACCCCCATGCACTGTTGGTGGGATACAAACGGGTGCCACCATTGTGCATAACAGTGTTGGAGGTCCCTCAAAACATTAAAAATAAAAATACCACATGATCCAGTAATTCCACTACTACGTATTTACCCAAAGAATATGAAAACACTAATTGAAAAAGGTATATGCACTATGTTTATTACAGCATTATTTATAATAGCCAAGACATGGAAGCAACCCAGTGTCCACTGAGAGATGACGGAATAAAGATCTGATGTGTACACAAACACACACACACACACCAGAGGACTATCCATCATAAAAAAGAATGAGATTTTGTCATCTGCAACAACATGGATGGGAACTAGAGAGTATTACATTGGGTGAAATAAGTTAGAGAAAGACATTACCATATGATTTCACTTATGTGTAATCTAAAAAACAAAACAAACCAAAAGCAGAAACAGACTCATAAATAGAGAATTGACAGTTGCCACAGGGTAGCATGTTGGGGAATGGGCAAAATGGATGAAGAGGAGTGGGATACACAGAATTCCAATTATGGAATGAGTAAGACACAGGGATGAAAGGTACCATGTAGGGAATACAGCCAATGGTATTTTAAGAACTTTGATGGTGACAAATGATAGCTACACTTGTGATGAGCATAATATAATGTTTAGAACTGCTGAATTCCTAGATTGTACATCTGAAACTAATGTAACCATTTGTAAACTATTCTTCAATTAAAAAGAAAATCACTCTAAACCTCATTTTACAAATAAGAAATTCAGGTCCTGTATACAGAGCTAGCTGGTGGCAATCCTTCAGGGAAAAAGGATAATTTAAGCTGGGTCTAGCTAGGACTTGAATAGGCAGGGAAGAAGAAAGAACCTTCCAGTCATGGCAATATATTAGCAAAGTTTAGAGACTGAAACAAAGCAGTCGAATGCAAAGAGAATAAATTCTTTTGACTGAGAATAAAGGCAAATAAATTTAGGAATAGCTAAATTTTATGTTGGGGATTAGAGAGGGAGTTTCAATACTGAAAAGAATCATAGGCAATAGGAAACTAGAGAGGGTTTTAAGTAACAAATGTAAATTTCTTAGGAAAGCCCAAATTGTGTACTTGTCTGGAAGCCAAGACTATAAAACATAAAACAAGCATTGTAATTGCCAAAATGTTTTACCAATTGCAAATCCAATTCTTAAAAAAAGGTAGACACTGTATCATCAAAATAGGAAGGAATTAGTGATAATTAAAAATGGGCAAAAAAGAAAATAGAAATAAGGGAAGAATAAATGACAGAGATATGGACAAAAGAATCATTATAAAAGATAAGTTACTTCATGCAGTCAAGTTCTAGAAACATTAGATGGTCCAAACAGTAAGTCACCATGGCTTAAAAAGCACACTCAAAGCATGATTAGCAAATGTTACTGTTTCAAACTGCAGTAACTCACCTCTCTAGCAGCACAATCATGAGGAGCTTCTTCTTTGTTTACTTTTCCTTTTGGAAATCCCCAGCCTGATTTTGCTAGATACCCCTGAACCAGTAGTACCTATAAAAATGAGCAGAGGTAAAAATAAAACTTGCCCTCCTTTCTCACACTCCTTTCTAAAAGTCAAAGGTATCAAAAAAAAAAAAAAAAAAAAAAGTCAAAGGTATCTTTTTCCTTACTTCAAGTAACTGTTATCACCAATAATTTTGTATAGATCTTGGTTTTGATATCTTCCAATAGTCTGACTATACTACTAGTGTGAAGAAAGGCATTCTGCTCATTTTAAGGTATTTCTTCAACAATTAAATCACATTTCTTTGCAATAAGTCATACTACAATTATAAAATATTAAGACCCAGAATGCAGACAAAATATGCAATATTTGGCCTTTCAGCACTAAAAGTCTATTTTAAAACCTCACTTTAGAGCATTATATAAATAACATATATTTTACAAATAAGATGAAAAGAGCTGATGGTTGCACTAAAAATCTTTTATTACACTCACATTTTCAAGCGTCTCATCAAGAATAATTGCACCATAGGTTGGTACTCCCATTTTATATTCCTTCCATTCATCCAAAATTTTTTCCACATCTTCACCTTGAGGCAGCAAAAACGGACAATGACTGAAGAGTATACATAGTGTTAAGGAAGCTCCTTTCTCTCTAAATACAGCTTAAGTACTTATTATATACAGATACAAATCTACTTAAAACAACTATGAATATTATATGAAATTACTCAAATCCTCACCTAAATTTCTCCTCCTTGCTTTTTTCCCCACATTGGTTTTCTCCTGAACAACTCACTGCTAACTTCTGCATTTAGCCGAGACACAGATCAGGTAAGCTTTGCATAATCAAAGTCTTAGATTTCCAAGTTAACATGAATAAATTCAGGACCATGTGAACAACTCAAATACTGAGTCGAATTCACCACATCAGGAGTCAATACTTAGTCTCACTCAGGAGTCTCTTAGTCATACTAAATGAGAGCAAGAAACAAAAGTACAGTATACATATACAATAGTGAAAACTAGAAAACATCAAAACAAGTAAAACGTGATTAACACTAGGGATGAAGTATACCACCACTTACTCTTGAATGTCTTTACCAAGTACATGATTTAATTGCTTATATAATTAAAACATTTTAAGGGGAGCCTGGGTGGCTCAGCTGGTTAAGTGTCTGCCCTCGGCTCAGGTCATGATCCCAAGTTACTGGGCCATTTATTTATTTATTTATTTAGATTTTTTATTTATTTATTTATTTTTTTTTGAGAGACACAGAGTGGCAGAGACGTAAGCAGAGGAATAAGCAGGCCCTGTGGAGAGCCTGATGTGGAACTTGATCCCAGGACCCTGGGATCACGCCCTGAGCTGAAAGCAGACGCTCAACGTCTGAGCTACCCAGGTACCCCAAGTTACTGGGCCTTTACACAGTATAGGTGACGCTTGAACAACACAGGTTTGAAATGCAAGGGTCCACTTATATGCAGATTTTTTTTTCAGTAAGTACAGTACAAAACTGTAAATGTATCTCCTCCTCATTATGGTTTTAATGACATTTTCTTTTCTCTAGCTTAGTTTACTTTGAGAATACAGTATATAATACATATCACATGCAAAATAGGAATTAATAAACTATTTTATCAGTAAGGCTTCTGGTCAATAGTAGGCTATTAGCAGTTAAGTTCTGGGGAGTCAAAAATTACACACACATTTTACTACACAGAATGTCAGGACCCCAATGCCCATATTGTTCAAGGGTCAATTGTAGTTCTAAAATATAGGTTACACTGATTAAAGAATTTGAAGCACATGTCCACTTGTATTATATGCATTAAGAAAAAAATCGTTTTTTTACTTTCCCTTTTTATACTGACATTTTTTGCATAAACATGAAAAATCTGCTCTAGATATATTTTAGACAGTAAATCTCCCTCCAAAATCCTACCATGATCTTAGATGATAACCTTTTTGATTCCTCATTTACTTCTTTCTATTTAATCAAACAGCTTGATCATTTCGGAACTAAAATGTCTCTTCATTCTTTGTAGTCCTTCACTATGGTTTAGGACCTTATTGCTATGATCTCAAGTTATTTGACAGCCCATTCTATGGTTTAACCTATCCTACCAAATAAAGCTTCTTGAATACCATTTTGAGCATAATATTCCTTAGCCTTGTTCAAAAATGTTTTATGGGTAACCGTCATTAGAACAAAGTGTTTCATTCATTTTCTACAATGACCTGGACGAGGGAGGGCTTATTTCATGGAGCTCAAAGAAAATTATGGGGGGCTAATAAGTACAATGGCTATTTTCATTCTTACTCCAATTCTAGCACAATACAGTGAATTTGTGGGTAAAGAAAAATAATAGAAAATAGAAACTTTATTTTTTAAAAAGATTTTATTTATATATTCATGAGAGACACAGGGAGAGAGAGAGAGGCAGAGACCTAGGCAGAGCGAGAAGCAGGGTCCCTACAGGAGTGTGACACAGGACCCAATCCCAGGACCCCGGGATCATAACCTGAGCCAAAGGCAGATGTAATCACTAAGCCACCCAACCACTGAGCGACCCAGGTGTCCCAATAAATAAATCTTTAAAAATAATTATAATAATCTTGAATTATTAAGGGTGGCGCAGCAGTTTGGCGCCTGCCTTTGGCCCAGGGCGCGATCCTGGAGACCCGGGATCGAATCCCACGTCGGGCTCCCGGTGCATGGAGCCTGCTTCTCCCTCTGTGTCTCTGCCTCTCTCTCTCTCTGTGTGACTATCATAAATAAATAAAAATTTATATAAAAAAAAATCTTGAATTTTCAAGTGTTATCTTTTATAACAAACAAGCTTCTATCTTATTTGTAAATAGGAGAAAAAGACTTTTGAAAATAAAGACTTCTTTGTATTAGCCACAAAACTAAAAACATTGCTTTTAACATATTAAGTACTCAAAAATTATTTAAGAATCTCTATCCCGAAAGGTAGCAATCTGATTAAAGATCATCTGACTGGGGCACCTAGGTGGCTCAGTTTGTTAATAAGCATCTACCTTCAGCTCAAGTCATGATCCCAGAGTCTTGGGATCAAGCCCCACCTCGGCTCTCTGCTCAGTGGGGAGTCTGCTTCTCCCTCTCCCACCCCTTCCCCTACTCATGCTCTCTTTCTCTCAAATAAATAAATAAATATTTTAAAAAATAAAGATCATCTGGGGTAGCCTGGGTGGCTCAGTGGTTTAGCACCGCCTTCATTCAGCTCAGGGCGTGATCCTGGAGACCCAGGATCTAGTCCCACATTGGGCTCCCTGCACAGAGCCTGTTTCTCCCTCTGCCTGCGTCTCTACCTCTCTCTGTGTGTCTCTCGTGAATAAAATCTTTTAAAAATATTAAAAAATAAAAATAAAGATCATCTGATTAAATGAAACAGCAAGAAGTAAAAAACAGATCAGTTCTAGAAATAGGTTGTGGTTATTTCTGAAAGAAAATAAAATTTAATTCTAATCACCATATATATTTCAAGGAATCCTCTACATCAAAATTAAAATACTATTAAATTCTACTATTTATATTTGACAAATTTTAGAAATCAAGTATGTTTACCTAATAAGTTTTAAATCTCAAAGACAATCAAAAGGAAATCTGTGCTAAAATATTTTATTAGCAATAATGAAGACAGTCATTATAGTAATAAAAAGGATATCAGCTTTAGCAAAGTCTCTTATCCCACACTGAGGTAATCCTGGTGTGTTCTGCATGTAGAAATCCAAGTAAAACCAATGGGCAAGTTCAATCTGAAAACACACTCGGATAGCATTGTCTCTTTCCTCACTGGGAATATGCAAAATAAATCGGCTGTCAAAAACAAAAAACATTTAAATTACATTTACAAACCGCAATGATTTTAATCTATTTAACTACTTCATCCCTGACCCACCAACATAAAAAAGAAACCAAGAGCAGGGCTGATCAAGGAGGCAAAATTGGGGGGAAATTACTACAGGAAGAGGAGTCTGGAAGGCAGCTATGTTCACCTCTATACCAATGCTGCACAGGGAAGAAGAGTCTGGGGGAAAAAAAAGTTTATCACAGTTATCTCACTCAGAATTTAAGAGGCCATTTACCCTTTGTTAACAAGTACAAAGATAATCTTAAAAGCTCATATAAAGGGGAACAAGAAAACAACTTTCAGTAGGATTTCCTCTCATGATTGCTAACATTTTCTAATATATACAAATATATTCATTCATTCAAACAGGAATGATGTTAGCTGCTTCATCTTTAAAGTATTACATTTAAAAAAAAAAAAATAAATAAAGTATTACATTTTTTGGGGATCCCTGGGTGGCGCAGCGGTTTAGCGCCTGCCTTTGGCCCAGGGCGCGATCCTGGAGACCCGGGATCGAATCCCACGTCAGGCTCCCGGTGCATGGAGCCTGCTTCTCCCTCTGCCTGTGTCTCTGCCTCTCTCTGTGTGTGTGTGTGTGTGTGTGTGTGTGTGTGTGTGACTATCATAAATAAATAAAAATTAAAAAAAATAAAGTATTACATTTTTTTAAAAGATTTTATTTATTCATAAGAGACACAGAGAGAGAAGCAGAGAGACACAGGCAGAGGGAGAAGCAGACTCCCCGCAGGAAGCCCAATGTGGGACTCGATCTCAGGACCCTGGGATCATTCCCTGAGCCAAAGGCAGGCACTCAACCGCTGATTTACAGCTAATTTTTCAGCAAAAACTATGCAGGCCAAAAACGAGTGGCATGACATATTTAGAATGCTGAAAGGAAAAAAATCTACAACCAAGAACAATCTACCTGGCAAAATTATCATTCAGAATTGAAGAAAAGATAAACAGTTACTGACACAAAAGTGAAAGGAGTTTAACACCATTAAACCAGCCTTAAAGAATACTAGAGACTTCTCTAAGTATAAAAGAAAAAGCCATAATTAGAAAAAAAAATTATGAAAGGAAAAAAAATTTCGTAAGTAAAAGCAAACATACACTAAAAGTAACAGAGCAATCACTTATAAAGCTAACATGAAGGTTGAAAGACAAAAGTAGTCAAATCAATTGTATCTAAAAAATTAGTTAAGGAGACTCACAAAACAAAAAGATGTAAAATATGACAACATATACATAAAGCATGAGGAATGGTAAAAATGAAATTCTTTTAGAATGTGTTCAAACTGAAGTGATCAACTGAAGCATGCTATACATTTAGGAGGTTATATATGAATCTCAGGGTAACTACAAATCAAAAACCTGTAATAGGCACAGTAAAGTAAGAAAGAAAGCCAAATTTAACACCAAAGAAAGTCCTCAGCACAAGGAAAGAGCAAGAAGACCAAACAGAGAGCAACTGCATAACAACTGGAAAGCAATTAACAAAATGCAAGTACACACCTACCAATAATTAATTTTCAGCTTTTTAAAATTCAACTAATTAACACATAGTATTAATTTCAGAGGTAGAGTTCAGTGATTCAGTCTTATATAATACCAAGTGCTCATTATATCACATGCCCACTCTAATGTTCATCACCCAGTTACCCCATTCCCCATCCCACCCCTCCAGCAACCCTGTTTGTTTCCTATGATTAAGAGTCTCTCATGGTTTGTCTCCCTCTCTGATTTCATCTTGTTTATTTTTCCTTCCCTTCCCCTATGCTCCTGTTTTGTTTCTTAAATTCCATATGAATGAGATCATATAATTGTCTTTAACTGATTCACTTTTTTTTTTTAAGATTTTATTTCTTTATTCATGAGAGACACAGAGAAAGAGGCAGAGATGTAGGCAGGCAGAGGGAGAAGCAGACTCCCCATGGGGTGCTCAATGTGGGACTCAATCCCAGAACCCTGGGATCCGGATCTGAGCCAAAAGCAGACTCTCAACCACCAAGCCACCCAGGTGCCCCTCTGACTGACTTATTTCACTCAGCACAATACCCTCTAGTTCCATCCACGTTGTTGAAAATGGCAAGCTTTTTTTTTTTTTTTGATGGCTGAGTAGTATAGTCCATTGAGAATTACTATTATTATTTTTTATATATATTGGAGAATACTTTAAATGTAAATGGTCTAAAGGCTCCAAACGAATGACATAGGGTGACAGAATAAACAACAACAAAAGAAGACTCAGCTATACGCTGCTTACAAAAGACTTACTTCAGACCTAAAGATACCTATTGACTGAAAGTGATGAGATGGAAAACAGATAGTCTATGCAAATGAAAGTGGGGAGGGGAGACCAGGAATACTTATATATATATATATAAGACAAAACAGACCTCAAAACAAATACTGTAACAAGAGACAAAGAAGGGCATTACCTAATGGTAAAAGTATCAATAAAAAAAAAAAGATATAACAATTGTAAATATATGTACCCAACACTGAAGCACCTAAATAAAGCAAGTATTAACAGACATAGGAGAAATTGACAGTAATACAACAGGGAATGTGAACACCCCACTCACATATACTGAATGATAGATCATGCAGGCAAAAAAAAAAAAAAAAAAAAAAATTCAGTAAGGAAATAGTGTCTTTGAATGTCACAACAGACCAAATGGGGGATCCCTGGGTGGCGCAGCAGTTTGGCGCCTGCCTTTGGCCCAGGGCATGATCCTGGAGACCTGGGATCAAATCCCACGTCGGGCTCCCGGTGCATGGAGCCTGCTTCTCCCTCTGCCTGTGTCTCTGCCTCTCTCTCTCTCCCTGTGTGATTATCATAAAATAAAATAAAAATAAAATTTAAAAAAAAAAAACAGACCAAATGGACTTAACATATACATACAGAATATTCCATCCCATAATAGAGTACATATTCTTTTCCTTTTTTTTTTTTAATTTTTTATTTATTTATGATAGTCACACAGAGAGAGAGAGGCAGAGACACAGGCAGAGGGAGAAGTAGGCTCCATGCACCGGGAGCCCGACGTGGGATTCGATCCTGGATCTCCAGGATCGCACCCTGGGCCAAAGGCAGGCGCCAAACCGCTGCGCCACCCAGGGATCCCTCCTTTTTTTTTTTTTTTTTTTAAACACATTCTTATCAAGTACCCATGAAACATTTCCCAGGATGGATCACACATTAGGCTACAAAACAAGTCTCCGTAAATTTAAGGCTGAAATCATATCATGCATCTTTTCCAACCACAACAGTATAAAACTACAACTCAATTATAAGAAAAAAAAAAAAAAAAACTACAAGGGCACCTGAGTGGTTCAGTCAGTTAAGTGTCTGACTTCAGCACAGGTTAAGATTCAGTCCTGGGATCAAGCCCTGTGTCAGCTCTCCCTCTCCTTTTGCCCCTCCCCCAGCTCTTGTACACATGTTCTCAAATAAATAAAGTCTTTAATAAAAAATTTAAAAATAAAAGGAAAAAAATAAAAACTAGGAAAAACACAAACCATGGAGACTAAACAACATGCTACTAAGCAACCAATAGGTCAAAGAAGAAATTAAAGAGGAAATTTAAAAATACATGGCAACCAGTAACACTGAAAATAGAACAGTCCAAAATCTTTAGGATGTAGCAAAAACAGCTGTAAGAGGGAAATTTATAGCAATATAGGCCTGCTCATGAAACAAGAAGAATCTCAAATAATCTAACATTAATTACATCTAGAGGAATTAAAAAAGGAACAAACCCAAAGTTAGCAGAAAAAAAGGGAATAAAGATCAGAGCACAAATAAATGATAAACTAAAAAAGAAAGATCAATGAAACCAAGAGCTTGTTCCTTGTAAATACAAACAAAATTGATAAACCTTTAGACCCATCAAGAGAAAAAGAGAAAAGACCCAAATAAATAAAATCAGAAAATAAGAACTGACACCACAGAAAAACAAATGATTGTTAAGAGGCTACTATGAAAAATTATATTCCAACAAACTGGACAACTTAGAAGAAACAGATAAATTCTTAGAAACCTATAATCTTCCAAATGTGAATCAGGAAGAAACAGAAAATGTGAACAGACTGATTTTTAGTAACAAAATTGAATCAGTAATCGAAAAAGTCCCAAAATACAAAGTCCAGGACTAGACTGATTGACAAATTAATTCCACCAAACATTTAAAGAGTTAATACCTCACTGTCTTCAAACTATTCCAAAAAATACAAGTAGGAAAATTTCCAAATACTTTCTACGAGGCATTACCCTGATACCAAAACACTACAAAAGAAAACTACAGGCCAATATCCCTGATAAATAGACACAAAAATCCTCAACAAAATATTAGCAAACTACATATAACAATATATAAAAAGAATCTTTGCCACTATCCAGTGAGATTTACTCCTGGGATGCAAGGACAGTTCAATATTCACAAATCAACCAACATGATACACCACATTAACAAAATGGAAGGATAAAAATCATATGATCATCTCAACAGATGCAGAAAAAGCATTTGGCAAAATTCAACATCTACTCATGATAAAAACTCAAAAAACAATGGATTTAGAGAAAGGATACCACAACATATAAAGGCCATATATAACAAATCCACAGCTTATATCATACTCAGTGGTGAAAAACTAAGCTTTTTCTCTAAGATTGGGCACATGAGATAAGGATGCCCACTCCTGTCACTTATTCAACACAGTATTCAAAGGCTTAGTTGAAGCAAACAAGAAAAAGAAATAAAAGGCATCAAAACTGGTTAAGGCAGAAATAAAACTGTCAATGTATGTAGATATACTATACACAGAAAACTATAAAGAGTCTACAAAAAAAAAAACCCTTAGAAGTAAATGAATTCAGTAAAGTTACAGGATACAAAGTTAATATATAGAAATCTGTTGCATTTCATGCACTGATAATGAAGGAGAATAAGAAAACAGGGGC